GCGTATTTGAGCACAATATCCGTGGTGGCGTTATATATGGGGTCATAACACTCATCCCGATGAGATATGAGATACGCTGTTACCCCAACCATCGTCTTACCTGGAACACCATTAGGACTGCAGCACAGTGTCGCAACTCGCGAAGAGCGCTGTCGCTAACTCCAGCAACTGCACCGCCATGCGCCACTGATGGAAGGGCGCCCGTGCGCCACAGGCTGGTAGCACTCCGCCCCACGGCGGACTTCAACATGCGAAAACGATGCTTGCGCTCTCGAAACTGCACCAACCTACGCTTCTCCATATGCCGAAGAACTCGAGGTCCTGTGAGCTCGTGTCCCAGATTCCTCATGTGGGCCCTGTACGGGATCTTCAAGGTTCCCAGGTGCCTCTTGAGCTGTCCCCAAACTTTTTGGTTCCCAGGGATACATCCAGACTTCGGCGGCTTCAGGACCATCCCAAGATCTCCAGCATCCGACGTAAACGCCTTGGCCGCACGGGCCAGGTTGGACACCTCCCTCAATACAGGCGACACGTACTGCAAACCCACATCGTCCATGAGCGTGCGTGGCGTGATAGAAGGTGCAATGCTGGCCGTGCGCTGGACCGCTCGGTACGTGAGGAGGTAAAGAAGGTACGTGGCGTGCGTGCAGCCCGCAAGAATACCCTGATGGGCCACCAAGGGCCTAGATACAGACCCAAAACACTTGATCCTTCTCGGCTGACGGTAGGAGCCCAGGAGCAACCACAGGAGCCTCAGCGGGTACCCGAGCTCTCTAGCTTCTCGGAGAAGTGCACTGTGACTGACCATATCGAAGCACTTGGTCATGTCCAGGAGAATGGTGCATGTGTGCTCACCTAAAAGTTCTCCTATCTCCTGGCTCAGGTTGTGGTCGAAGGCTGAATCGGTCGAAGTCTGCCCAGCCCTTGACCCCCACATATGCTCGCACCTGTGTGTCTCTTGCCACTCCGCCGAAAGCGGCCGACGTAGCTTTCCCCACAACCTGACGAAAGTATTGCTGAGGACGATCAACCTAGTGTCCCCGTCAGGCTTGGGCAGGCGAACAAGCTCGCTGTAGAGCCTGTCCGTGGGCCAGGCCAGCCAACTCTCAAACAGCATGAACATATCGGCCAGGCTCTGCAAGGCCTGGTCGGACAGCACATCGAGCGTGCGTGGCGCGATCCTCGTCTGGCCCGAGGCCGTCTTCAACGGAAAACTCCTGATGGCTCGAGGCACCTGCGATGCAGTGAAAGGCGGAAGCAACGGCCACTGAGCGTGATCGACAGGCAGCGGCAAAGGACACGCCCCGTGGTAGGTCCAAACGTCCTTCCACTTGTCGAGCGTGCGGTCAGCCATCTGATATGGCTGAGCGTCGTGGGAGTAGGCAAGCACCTCCTGTCGAGCCCGAACCTTGGAGGACGAATGTGCCCGAGATGCTCCTCCCAGGAAGGCTTCTTTGGCCCACTGCCTCCAGGCCCTCTCTGCCGCTCTTTGTGCCGTTGTCAAATGATGGTCAGCTGCGGCAATGATGGTCTTGGCTACGTCCTCAAAGTCAGCCTCGACCAAGCCGATCAGCCCTCGCCGAAAGAAGCCTGCGAAGGCAGCATCCAAGGCACACAGCACATGCTCTGACCGAGCCGCGCGCCTATAAAAGGCAGCCACCTCGTTGAAAGCCACTACGACCTTAGTGTACTGCAGCGGCGTGATGTCACATACAGCAGCACAAAGCTTGAGGCGCTCGATGTACCTCACCAGCCGCTTCTTCTCAGCCACAAGGTGCTGGGCCCATCGCTTCGCCGTGGCCCAGGCCAGCACGGTCGGCTCCTTGTAGGTACGCCTGCGTGGCGGCTGCCATGACAAGTGCTGCCACTTGAACTGCGGCGGCCCCTCGCGTCCGATGTACTGCATGGCCTTAGCACCCACACAGTCGTAGCGCCCTGCCAGCTCGTAGTCCACCCCTCGCAACACGGAGTCCCAGAGCGGGCTCAGGTCGTCAGTACAGCTGACCCGTTGGAACTCTGTCCGAAGCCTGTGCCACGGGTAGGGATATCTAGCACAGCCAACTGGCGGCACCACCGCAAAGGGACGTGGCTCCACAGGGACACGGCACCACGTGGGGCGATCCTCGCCCATGAGCTGCAGCTCCACAGGAAAATGCGGCGGCGGCACGCCCGTGGAGTCATACTGAACCTCTGGCTTGCCCTTGATGCGAGACGCTAAATTGGCACAGACGACGAAATAGTCTATGGTGCTCTTGCCTTCATCGGTGATGCAGGTGTGCTGGTCGGGCACGTAGTGGACGGCTGCCATGGTCTCGACCCAGTTGCGAACATTGAGCGCATCGATGTCGGAATTCCAGTCGCCACCTAGGATCCAGTCGAGGCCCCGTGAGTTCCATGCCGCCACTCTCTGTGCCAAGGCCCACAGCACTTCAATGTTCTCGCCCGATATGCCAATAGACGTGACGAGATACACACTGGCGACTATGATGCCGCCTGCCACTCCCCAGTTAATCTGTGCACAGACTGCTCGTCCTGGGTAAATAATGTGCCCATCATCAGGTGGGGCTGTGACCATGATGTATGTCGGCACAATTACAGCGACCCCTCCGAAGTTGGACGTAGCTGAGTCCCCCGTAGAGGGCGAAGGGGCCCATAGCCCATGCCATCCAGCATCCAAGGCCCTGGCCTGAAACTCGCCAAGCCTGGAGTCGGTAATCCTCAACTCTTGTGCCAGCAAGATAGTACCACGATAGGTTGCCAAAAAGTCAAAGAGAGGGCCGTAGCTCGTAGCATTCACCGTTGTGATGAGGCCCTTGAGCTGCGGCTGGGATACTGCATGCGTTGGCTGCACCTTCGCCTCCGTGCTCCCTGGCGGCGAAGGCGAGGTAGGTGCAGCGCGTTCTTGACCTGATTTTTCGAAGCGTAATCGGGAAGAAGGTGGGGACGAAGATGGCGCTTCATGAAATGCGCCTTCACACAGATCTGCTTCCATGTCAGGCTCAACGTCCTCAAAGAAGTCATGATCGCCATCCAAAGTAGTGCACACTGGGCCGCTCTGGCCCGGTGGGGCCCCTGGCAGTCGGTACCCTCTGCCGCCTGGATTCTCCGAGGGCAAGGGCGGTGAGCAGTGCGTGCCGCCCGAGGACGGTCGGTACCCTCTGCCGCCAATCCCCGAAGATGAGGTCGGTGAGCAGTGCGTGCTGCCAGGGGCCAGCCGCGTAGGCGTAGACGGAGTAGCCCTCTGTGATGCCGTAGTCGCCCTGGACGGAGCTGCAGGCTCAACCGAAGTAGGCGAGGCCACCGTCAGGGTCGGAGCTGTCCCCCACCCCGAGGAGCGGGCCAGTGGGGGGGATAATGCAGGCGCCGTAGTGCCAGGCGAGGTCATGGAACTGGACGCCGATGTGGGCAGGGGGGTGTGACTATGAGGGGCTGAATCCCTCCCCCCCCTGCCCAGAATGCTGGCCGCCGTCGAAGATGACTGAGGCGGACTCTCGACATGTTGCGCTGATGTGGAGCTAACCATGGTGACAAAAAGCCAAAGCAACAGCATATCAAGCCGAGCACATTCACGCCGACGTCTTGGCCTTCTTGGCCACAGTGTCCAAGTAGCTCTGCTGAAGGCGCTTGAACTTCTCACGCACGATGTCTGGGGTGTCGCTCTCCTCGACTTGGACCCCTGCTGCACCCAGCGTCTCACGGTACTCCTGTTCGGACATCTCGATGTCAGGTGGCTCAGCGCAAGACTCATCACCATCCTCATCATCGGGGGCAGGTGCGGGTTCAGGCGGCTTGGCCTGCGGCATATTCTGCAGCTTGCTGACCGTGTTGGCCATAGCTTGCAGCTCCTTGACCATGTCGGCGCCAAGGCCGAGGCCCGATGCAACCTTGCCCAGCTGCTCCACGCTGACCGCAAAGGTGGGCAGCAAGTCCGCCAACGTCGGTGGCTGGGTGCCCTCGGGCGGCTGGACTCGCGACATGGCGGCGCGAGTCTGCTGCTCGAGGCGGAGGACCTCCGCAGCCGCCTCCTGCAACTTGGAGTCTGTGTCGGCCAGGCCTCGGGTGAGCTCGTCAATCTTCCGCTGCTGCTCGTCGCGAGTGGCCTGGATGGTAGCCTGTCGCGCACGGGCGGAGGACAGTCGTGACGCCAATGACCTGGCCTGATGCTCAATGGGCCTATCTTGAAAGAGCTCAGCATCCAACCTAGCACGCTCCTCACGCCATTTGGCCACAATATCAGCATCAGCAGGGTCAGTAGTGACCCGAAGCAGCTGGTCCAGCATCTTGATACGGCTCCTCTTGACGGCGTCGGCATCCCCAGGCGCGGCAGCCCAAGGAGGGCTCGCACCTGTACCCGTAGCCGTTGGCCCTTGCCCAGGGGGATGCTCTCGGAGCTTGGCAAGCTGCGCCTCGAGCTCCTTGACCTTGGCCGCGAGCGACTGCTGCTTGGCCGAGACGCTGGGCTGCGACGCTGCTTTGTTCTCCTTGAAGCAGTTGCTCTTGTGCAGGCCACACTTCTTGCAGTACACCAGGGTGGAGGCGTTGAACCACGGCTGATTCGTGACGTCATGCCTGCACCACTTGCAATACCATGGCGAAGCGTTCTCCTTGCGCGTCGGGGCCATGGCGGCGTCGACTTCGCAGAGACAAGCGGCGAGAGCCACGGCCCTGAGGGCAGCCTGGCCGTGGCGACAAAACTGATGAGGGAGCCCAACCCCTCGGTGAAGGCGAAAAGCTGTCGAGCGCAAGCGCTCTGGCACTGCCGCGGACTAGCGGTATCCGAGAATGCCAATACGGGCTCAGCCCGCAAAAGCATGAGCCTTGAGCCAAAATGGCTACGGAACTTAAAAGCAGGGAGGAGGAGGAGGAGGAGGAGGAGGAGGAGGAGCCAGACCTTTTGGACAGTGCCCCGGCTGCCCCCGCCGAGCCGATGCAAGCAAGGCTCCAGGGGCGCGGGGGCGCGCAAGCCCGATGGGGGCGAAGGAGGCTGGCGCCGCCGGGTCCTCCCAGTCGCCCCCGGGGCACGGGACGTCAGTCGCGTTGTCGAGGTACTCCTGGGGGAGGGGGGGTCGTGGGCGGGGGGCGAGCGGGAGGTGCTCTGTCAACTCCTCCCCTGTTCCTGCCTCCCCCCCCCTCCTTCTCACTTCCTCCCTCGAAGGGTGGATGGGAGAAAATCAAGTCTTCGAATCGCCAATCACCTCTCTGGCGATGTGAACGCGTCCTGCTGGCGACACGCTGCAATTTTTCGGGGCAAGGAACGGCTGGTGCCGTTGGGCCTCCCAGGCCGCCTCTCCGCCATTTCTGCCCTCGACCCACCTGCCCTGCCGCTGTCTGTCTGCCGCCCCATGCCCCGTGCCCTGGTCGGCTTCGGCCGCTTCCTTTCACGCCCGCCACTGGCGTGGCCTGCGGCCTTTCCTGCCGCTCGCTGGGCCGGCGCGTCGGCCGCTCGACGGCGAAGCGCCGTTTAGGGGCGGCCCCTCGCTCCTCCTGGCGCTCGCCTGCGTTCGCACCTCCGTTTCCTGTGGCGCTCGGTTTTTCTGCCAAGTGGACGCGCCTTTGCGCGCTCGTCGGGCGATCAGGCGTCCCTGCTCGCAGACATCAATTCGTGCTAGGCGCGTCCCGCTCCCATGCGCCCGTCGATTAGGGCCATAGGCGCGTCGAAAGACAAGGTGTGTGCCGGTTTGTGTGTGCGTGTGTGCGATTTGGCTTCTCGCAGCATGCGTTTACCATATGCTGTCACCGCTGCGTCGTCGCGCGCGCAGCGACCAAGAATTATTTGTTCGTCGCAGCGCGGCGAAACGCAATCCGCACTCGCGCTCTAATAGCCCCGGGCATGGCGTACTAATTGATTGTCCGGCGGCGCGAGGGAGGGAGGGAGGCGGAGGGCAGCCGCGGACCACGGGCGGGGGAGGAGGGCACTCACCTCACGAAGAGCTTCGGCAAGAGTGGCCGGGGCGGCCGGCCATTGCTGAGGCGACCCGGAAGTGGGCGTGACGCGGCATCGCGCCCACACCCAGGCTGGGGCCGAGGCAAAGGCTGCAGGCGCTGAGACAGCGTAGACGAAATCGAACCAGTGCAGGAGTGGAGTTTGCGAGCGAGTCCACCGCAGCAGGCGGCGTCCGGGCGTTCGTCGGGAGGCCGTGGGCGACAGGCATTACTGCAACACGGCGCCAGCGGGATGCGGAAAGGCCGGCGACCACGGGGGCTGGGCCGGCGACCATCTCGCTGCAGCAAAATGCTGCTATACGTCGGTCGGGCGTGTCCCCCCACAGGCGGATTTTGGGTGAAAAAAAAAATACTCCAAAAATGCACCAAAAGAGTCGACGAATAATCAACAAATAGTCCCCGTAATCATTTTTTGGGGACTATTTTGGAATATTCCTCCTGTAGAGGGACAGGCCCGACTTAATGCTATATTGCCGTGCTGAGATGCGGACAGCAGCGCTGCAGAGCTGCCGGTGGCTGCAAAGCCGCCGAGGGCTGCAGAGCCGAGCCGCAATACCGCCGGGGGCTGCCGAGCGAAGCGCCAACTACTGAAGTGGCGCGGCGCGGCGAGGAGCCGCCAGCCGCCGCAAAGGACGCATCTAAGCTGCGGCGGGGCGGCGAGAGGCGGGAAAGGGCCGAACCCGGCCGGCGCACGCATCACACCTGGGCGTGGCGGGGACGCCTGGCCACAAGGCTGGCGGGGCGGGGGCGCCCAGCTGCAAGAGCAGCGGGGCAGGGGCGGGTAAAGGCGGCTGAGACCCGAGCGGTGCGCGCCACGCAGCTGTTAACCAGCCTCGAACGGCTCCCCTAGGATGGGCAGGCCAGAAGCGATGACAGTCTCAGGGGGAGGCCCCCAGAAACTGCGGGAATCCCTAAGATCGGTATCGAGGTACAGTCGGGACGATGACCCAAGGAACCCGAAATAAGGAACGAGGCCCCTTCTATCCACAAGTTGAACTTCGACTTCCCATCGAAAACCAAAGGACGACAACCAAAGGCAAATTGTGAAGCAACCAAGGAACACGGAGCCCCTCCCCAACGAAAAGGGTTCCTTCTTCAGCGCCCCGACTGTAAGGCGCTGCCAAACACAGGGATAGGGACAGGGATATGCTTCAGGCTAGCAGAGCTGGGAGAGCCGGGGACGCCCGGCCGCAGGGCCGGCCAGGCCCGGGCGCCCAGCTGCGGGAGCAGCGGGTGGGCAGGCGACCTGGCGGAGCCGGGTGAGCGTCGGCCCAGCGCGCGGCAGCCAAAGGCCTCCCGGGGGGCGGCACCGGCGAGACGCACGCCTGTTTCCGCTGGGCAAATTGCTGTGCGCGCGTACACTGTGCATGCACCTGCCCATGCCGTTCAAACGACTGGCTCTGGGTCTTGCCCTCACTGGGACTACCGCTTTAGTGCACGCCTCCAGAGAAGGTGTTCAAGGCGATACTATTCACGCGGCCCGTGGCTGTCTTCGTGGTGAGCGCTGCCATCGTCGCGTCGGAGAAGAACAATTGTGTGCGCGCGCTCGCTTTTGGCCTGGCTCTCAATGGGACCACGTACCAGTGTAGCGCACGTCACCGCACAAGGTAGCCGATCAATTGCTAATGCCATCTGTAACTGCGTTCCAGGTAGATGCCTCCACCGCCGCGTCGAAGGAACTTGTGTATTTGTTGTGTGTGCATGTGTGCACGTCTCTGCGTGTGCGTCCCTGTCTCTCTATCTGTCTATCTCTCTCTCGCTCCCTCTCCCTTTCTCATCACACGCGGAAGCGACTGATCATCACATGCGGTGCCTACCCTTGGAATTAGTGAACGCCTAGACTCATCCTTCACATGGACTTCAGATAGCTATGATTCGATCTGGGTGGATCGGGCTTCACTTCCGAAACACGAGAATGCCCATCACAAAGCGCACTTTCAAGACGAACGCTGGTTGCAAAGAGCATGGCTCTCCTGCCACATGTCCGAGGTCACATTGACGCCCTCACTGAAGCACACGCCGTCCAAGCGCCTGCGCCCATCCTCCTTCTTGGAAAAGCCGCCATGGCCAGACGGCTGAGACCGAGGAGACCGCTGAAATTCTTGATGTCATGGTCGCGACGAGCAAACGAAAGCTGGAAAACACCATACATCGCCTACAAATTGGAAGCCGCATGAGTTCGGAAGGCGAATCGGGAAACCCGGGCGCTGGCCCGCCCAGGTAAGGGGCGGCCAATGCAGGACGCCATCGACTCTTGACGCAGGATGGCGCCCAAAGAACATTGCGCCCTTGCATGTATTAAGTCGGGCGCGCCCCCCTACAGGGGGATTTTGGACAACAGATAGAAATACCCCACAAATGCCACCAAATGGTCCAAAATAATCAAACAATCGTCCCCAGACTATTTTTTACTACTTTTGAATATTCCCCCTGTAGAGGGACAGGCCCGACTTATCCCTAGCAGTTCTAACATTCGCAGGCCCCACGGGCCATATGCGTGCTGGCCCTTCCCCCAAAGATGGCCTCTGTGACTGCCGGGCGGCCCCCGAGAGGCCCCCAGAGGCCCCAAAGACCTTCCCCCAAGACGCCCCCAAACGTCCACAAGAGGCCCCATGAGGCTCTAAACGATGCCCCCGCGGGCACGCAGACAAGACAAGACAAGCGGCCTGCAGTCTATGTGCCGCGGGGGCGCTGCAGGGTGGCGCCGGGGCTCCGTGAGTGGTGAAACAATGCGACAACAACAGCAATGCCCCCGCGACCACGCAGGCAAGTGCCAACGATGTCACAATATAGGCCGGTGGAGTTAGCGAATCGATGGAATAACTGGGACATGCGCGCAGGCAAACCACGTTATCACTTTGGCCGAAGCAAGCGGGTCCTAAGGGAAACTGCTCAAGCCTGTCAGCGAAGGAAAAACCTCGCAATATCGCAATCGAATCGAAGGGAAGCTCCTTCCCTGTGATCCCTCCCCCGTCGGGGGGGTCCCGGGGGGGGAGGGTCAAATACCCATCCCCCCCTGGGGGTCCCGGGGCCGCAAAAAGTACCAAAACAAGCCACGAGTGCCCCAAGAGGCCCCCGAGACGGTCCAAGAGGGCACCCAATCGCCAAACGATCGGTCCAAAACACGTTCACGCTCCCAGACTGCCCAGGAGACCTCCAAGACGCCCCAAGAAGCCTCCAAAGACACTCCCGAGAAGGCCACAAGAGGCAACCATCAGTGATTTTCCTTAGGGTTTTGACAGATTTGGGCGTTCTCGCCTTTTCTGCTTCCCGCCGCTCCAAGACGGCCGACGAGGCCCTCAAGATCGCCCCAAGAGGCTTCCACGAGCGCTCCAAAACATCCCAGGAGAACCCCAAGGCAGCCTAAAATGCCTCCAAGACGGCCCAAGAGGCCCCCAAGACGGCTCCAAGAGCGTGCCTTGACAAGGAACCCGAACGGACATTTCGAGCCCTCGGCGATGAGAAGCTCCTGGAAGGCCCCAAGAGGTTCCCAAGAGGCCCCAAGAAGCCCACGAGAGGCCCCCAGGACACCCGAAAAGGCCCCCAAGAGGCTCTCAAGAGGCTCCCAAGAGACCCTAAGTTTCCTCCCTAGAGGACCCCGAGGGCCTTCCCAAGAGACCCCAAGAAGCATCCTTGAGGACTCGGGCCCACGTCAGTGTCGTCGTCGTCGTCGCTGCCACCACCGTCGCCGTCGTCGTCGACGTCCCCCTTCAGGGTCAGCGGCACCGGCCGTGAGGCCTTCGCAATAAATGTGACATGCGCGCAGACAAATCACTTTTCCACTTTGACCGAATCAAGCGGGTCCTGAGGGAAACTGGTCCTGGACCCCAAGGCCTTCTCCCAAGACCAGCGTTTACGTCCCGAACCGTGGGGCCCGTGGAGGGCCCTGGGAGGCCAAAAACAAAACAGCAAGAAAACTCAGGACCCTATGAGCGACGGGAAAAACTTGTTTTACGCAAGATGGCATAGCCACCTTACGCAGCAACGCACGCGGGCCGCAAACGAGGCACGCCACGCCAGAAGCGAGGGTGCCTCCGCGCTACCTTACGCGGGCTAGTTTACGCGCCAACGTCGGCGCAGACGACCCCGTTCTCTTGGGTCGCTCGCATGCTTTCGGCGAGCGGGCTGCTCCTGGGCTGCCTCGAAGGTCCGAGCGCCGCATCGACTGCGAACTGTCGACGGCTGGGGCGGGACACCGGCGCACAGGGGCGCACCCGGTCGCCAGGGCAGCTACCGCGGCCGCTGCGTCTCGGGCCCGCTGCGCAAGCAGCGGGAGCAGCACATGCAGACGGCCGGACCTGGGGCGGAGGAGCATCCCTCAAAAGGCATGAGGCTCTCCCCCAGGATGCACAAGAACGCCCAACAAGCACGAAGAGCACTGGGGCACCTCCCCGAACCGACTTCGATCTCATACAGTGGAGGCCAGTCCACTAGAAACCTTCCCCAAGACACCCACCCCTGAGACCCCAGGGCGTCCATTGCTTTTTGGTGTGGGAACGTCACACTTTCCACAGCGAAAACATCAAAACCCAAGAAACCCAGGGCACCCTGGAGGCAAGCAGGGGCATGAGTCCCCACTGTACCTCGGTCCGACCGTACCAAGGCTCCCCGCGTCCCATCACGGCCAACAGAAGACGACTTGCTGCTTGAGGTGCCCAGGAATTGTGCGTCTCCGAAGGGAACATGCTTCCAAAACTGGAGTCGCAGGTCGCTCCGTGCCTCCGCTGTGGGGAGAATAACCAGGAAAGGACGGCGATCATGTGGAGGAGAATACAGGCAGTGGGACAGGAGTAATTAGGAGGATGGGAAGAATCACGAGGAAAGGGGAGAAATATCATAACGAAGATGATGCTGATGATGGTGATGATGGTGATGATGGCGATGATGACGATGCTGCTACTGCTGATGATGGTGATGATGATGATGCTGATTATGGTGTTGTTGATGATGATGATGATGAGGAGGAGGATGCGGATGACGATGACGACTGTGATGATGCTGCTGCTGCTGCTGATGCTGATGACGATGACGACGACGATGATGATGATGATGAGGATGATGATGATGATGATGTGGACGATTCGGGGCCATCTTTTTTCTTCTTTGTGCAAACGGCGGAGGGCGGCCTCGAGGGATACGCCAGCAGTGAAGCACAGACACGGAGAAACATTAAAAGCTCAAGTGGGTGGGGGGGGGCAGGGTAGAACTTGAGCAAGGGAATACGGCCGCGGTGTTGCCACAAATGCCGGCAAGTCGCTGTATGTGGACGATTCGGGGCCATATTGTTTCTTCTTTGTGCTAACGGCGGAGGGCGGCTTCGAGGGATACGCCACCAGCGAAGCACAGACACGGTACCACACGCTAGTCTACCCAGGTGGCCACAGCCGAATTACTCATTGACCAAACATTTTCTTATATCTCGCGGCGCGGGACAGATGACGAGCTTCGGCCACTATCATTTCAGTGCCAGCAATGGCCACTTCCGAGGGGAGGCCCTTACCAGAGGCACGAGCTACGGCGTCCAGTGCTGGACGTCCCAGGCCTCCCAGGTGACGTCTCAGAGTGCGATCACAGAGGCCATGGGCGCAGAGGCAACGACGAGCGAGGCAATCAAGATCCCGCGCGCTCCATCCGACGAGGTGGAGTCGCTGTCTCACGCGCCCCGCATACATGCACGCGTCGAGGGAGCAGGAGGAGGAGGAAGAGGCAATGAGAGGGGACAGGCGGGGATGCCTCCGAACGAGGCTCGACACAGGGTGCATAAAAATGATCGGGACTCTGCGGAAGATACACTCCGCAATCAATTTGAAGGTGGATTCAGCCAGCGCGTTTGCCACTCGCACGGCGCGACAGGCGGCCTCTGAGGCTCTATTCACGTGCAGCAGAGAATCAAACTTGCGGACACGCGACGCCCCTGGCGCCCAGGTGACCCAGGGCAAGGACGCCCAGACTCCGAGCACAGCCGAGGCGCGCACCCAGCCAGTCAGAGACTTCAGAACCTGAGGGTCAGCGAGGTCGTCGAAGCGATGTCGAGCAACGTTCACAGCAACGGTGCCGAGCCCGCGGGCCTCGCACACTCGCCGAACTCGGTCGGGGACACAGGTGCAGAGCATGATGAGGTGCGGCATCGCTGTGGCATGCGCCCGCGCACGTAGCCACAGGCGCCTCACACGAAGAGCCACTTGTCGGTCATCGCGGGAGGCGCCTGCACCGGCGCCGCCGCCGACACCGGCCTGAGAAGCGGCAGCGGCAGCGAGAAGATGCCCGTCCTCGCCATCACGTCCATCAGGCCCAGCAGATCGCTCTCGACCTTCTGCCCGAAGTCGACCAGCGCGGGGTCGAGTTGACCCGGCCGCTGCTGCATGCGCGCCCGCTTGGCGTACCTGTTCAGAGACTGGTCCGTCCTCCGCCTGCCGCGGCCCTTGACCTCCTTCCTCGTGCGGCGACCCGAGAGGAGGTCGTCGGAGGCCCCCCCGTGGCGCAGCGAGTAGAGGGAGGTCTGCTGGTCGGAGATCCCGAGCTGGACCAGGGCCTCCGCGAAAGCGCGCCGCAGCTGGTGCGGCGTGAAGGTCCAGAGGCTCTCCTCCGCGCGGCGTCCTTGCCGAAGCGCCTCGAGGAGAGGCCAGAGGAGAGGATCGTCGACGATGACGCTCTCGTCGGTGACCCCCGTCTTGCCAGGCCTCCCGCTCGCCGCATCGTTCACCAACAGAGCCCAGTGCTGGTGGCCCTCCGTGGCGCCCGACCTCGGCGCGATCAGGGAGGCCGCCGTGAGACGGTAGGCCTCGCTGGGGCGGAGGTACGTGTCGAACGCGATCCTCACGAAGACCGCCTGCGACAAAAGCCCCTGAGACAGCAGCGCGCCCACGATGGCGAACATCGTGACCCTCGGCAGCGGCAGCCTCATCTGCGGCGGCACGAGCTTCGTCCAACCCTGAAGGGCCCGAAAGGCCCGTGGCAGCGGGCGGCTGCCCATCAGCATCGACGGCAGATGGTGCTTCAGAGAGGCCATCGTGACGCGGCCCGTCGCACTG